ACACACACAAACTCACACACACACACACACAAACAAAAACACCTCTGCAACCAGATCAGATAGAACCATGTTCACCTTTTTATTAAATGAGACAGAAGAAGAAAGATAGTTTTTCTCACTTCTTTCACCAAGATCATTAATCTCACACCACTTCTGACCCTCTCCATCTCTCTCTTTCTATCTGTTTGCCCTCCCCGTCCCTCTTCTCTCTCCCCCTCCCTCAATTCAATTCAACATGCTTTAATGACATGTTGGTAAAGAGGAACAATCAACAATATATGACATAAAATATACATATTATCATTTCCATAAAATTACAAAAACATTATGAAAAAAATCATTTAACCATTTGTTTTTCTATTCATTTCATGTTGTTCCTGCCGTTAACCTGGTTTCGGAATCACTGTTTTAGATGCCTTCACACAGCAGGGATCTCTCTTTTATGGATTTCTAATCCTCATAATGGACCTTGTGTCAAACCTAGTTTATGGCGGGCGAGTCTCTACATTAATGATGAAAAGGTATTGTGCCATTCTCTTTTTCAATAAATGGTGAGGTTGCACTCTGGTGACGGATTTTGTTTTTATCTTGCCAATATTCAATGTATCTGCATTTATTTTCCACGTCAATTGTGTGTTTTCAGATGTATTGTGGAGTTCTTTGTGTTTGAGCTGAGCTTCTTGGTTATTCATGGAGGTTCTGTCGCTGGGCAGAGGCTCACACATGATGGTAGTACTCAAAATAAGCTCATGCCAAGGGAACCTGGAACTGGACAGCTTCTATAAACGTGTGCAGCGACAGTGGGAATTTTCCCAGCTCTGCCAAGGTTTGGACTCTTTCTGTGGATCTTAAGGACTTGCTTATTGAACTGTAGATATGTTTGAGAGTTTACTCCCACGACTGAGGCTGCTGGTTCATTACAGCTCCCATTCTGAGCAGCTTTTCACACTTATCATCAAAGCAGGTTTATGATGTTCATTTCTCGGACATCATTGCTCTTCATAGACGTCACGGTCTGAATCGCCCGGAAATCAATACAGATAAGACAATCTCAGAAAGCCTGCGTCACAAACTGGAGGGGTGGAGTTTGAAAGACGTGAAGATTTACCACACAAGTCCATTTGATGAACGTTGGTTACATTATGGATCATGTTGGATACAACATTTGAGAGGTGTGTTCCATGCTGAGGACCAATGGTTAAAACGACCTATGTAGTATAACTGGGATATTGTGTTTGTCACTTTCTACCTAATAGATGACTCAATTAACTAATTAAGAGTCATCAAATAACTAGTAGTATCTTTGCACTGTGGCATGCAGCCGGGGAACCGGTGAAAAACCCTGGACGATAAGATCATGCAAACTCCAGATAGCCTGCTAATTGGACCTGAGCCCCACTCGTTTCAATACGGTCATATCCTTCATCTTTTAGCTTAAAACACATGTTAAAGTGTGCCATTAATAACCAAAATGTTATATAAGACCCTATACAGTCTGAAGCTGATTGAGAATGGTTATCAAGCCCTTTCAGAGGAACCAAAAGGGGAAAGTGGACGTTAAGAGGGAACCTGAGACGAGAAGGTAAACACTCCCTGCAGACAACTTGATTCCAAAGGATCAATATCTTTAAAGACGCACTACTGGCATCTGAGCAAAAGGAGCTCTGTCACGCACCCTCCCAACCCCAAAAATACAGACAAACACGCACACCTGCATGCGCACCGATAAGACGTCAGCCACCGGAGCTCCGAATGTGTTTGCACACTGGTGTCGGTTCACTGCACTTCCTCATTGAATGATTTGAACAATTTATTCTGACATGCCGCTAAATCCGAGTCCGAGAGTGAATTTAGATTGAGCCTGAAAAAAAAGAAGAAAGGAAAGCGTGTTGCGACCTGAGAGTGTTGCAGTAGAGACAGAGCGAAAAGGGGGGAGGGGGGGGTTAGCTGAGGCGAGGGAGACCGGGAGGTATATGAGCCTGTCACTCAACATTACAGTGTCACTACGAGCTGGACAATGATTAACAGGGATAATGAACACAATGGGCTGTGTGCTGCAGAGTGGGCACCTAAAGCCGCTGTGGCGGAACAGCAGTGATATAATCCACCCATTCCCAACCAGGAGGTGTGTCTACTGTTACCAGTGGGGGTAACAGAAATCTATTTGCAGAAATGATGATCATGTCTCAATCTTACAACAACCCGAGTCACTTTAACGCCTGCCAGTAGAAGTGTTGTTAAAACTTTTCATTTATGCTACTCCAGTGGCATAAAGTGCAAACTGGAAAGACCAAAACTAGAAAAGGTCTCCACCATGTGTGTCTGCAACAACCACTGCTGTTATGTCTGGTTTTATGAATACTAATTCTCAGCGTGAATCACTGAAACCGGGTGAAGTGGTTGTAAAGTTTTGCTCATGGTTGTAAATGGGCACAAAAAAAAACGTTCAGCTGAATGCGCGATTAGCTGAGGACAGACATGTACATGTACACATACCACCAAGCACATTATCTCCTGGAGAGACAACAACACCAGCTTCGACAATAAAAGCAAAGACTGGCATTATTTTTTGTTTCATATCCAACCTGACCGATTATACATTATGCATGGATGTTCATTAACAAAAAGAAATAACATTGAATAAAAAAACATGCTGTAAATTTAAGAGATAAACAAAGTCCACAACTGGAGTGAGCACTGGCTGTTTTGGGGACTGCAAAGTTCAGCTGGAAGAGAAACTGATCGGTCATCCTTTGGTCTCCACCTTTTAAAGTAGGTCAGATGACCTTCCACAGAGACTGAGCAGAAAAACATCAGCAACAGCCAGATATCGCCGTGCCGCATTGAAGCAGTCAGCGTGGTTACATGGATTCGAATAACTGGCTTAGTCGGACTGAAATCAAATTATCCGTTTCATGTAAACACCTTTGTCCGACTATGTGCGGCCCGACTACGATCCGACTAACACGCCTGGATAACTCGATCCGATCCAGTTGATAGTTCGACTATTGCGGCATGTAACGGTGAATCGGATAAGGAACTGAACTTTGCGTCTTTGCGCATGCTTGAGATCCCGACGGCGTCTTCTCTCCGTTATCAAATCAGCCGATAGCGCCATTCGCATCCGCTGTACTCCTATTAACATCATGCAAAAATAGTAGAGGGATGTAGCTTCACCTTGCTCTCCGTTCGCCATCTTTCTCGTAATGTTGATGTTGTTGTTGTTGGTAGTGGTGAAGCGGTCAAGCGGAAATGGCTGTATCACAACTAGTTGAATGAAAACAGCGCCACCTATCGTATCGGGTATGACATGCTTTCGGCCAATGATTCGATTTATTCACTGCCATGTATATTGGGATAATAGCACTTGCCCCGAATGATAGCATAGTCCGACTAAGCAAAGATTCCAATTATACCATCATGTAAACACACTGACTGTTACAGAGAAGCACTCACTCCATAAAACAACGGTAGCAGACAAAACTCTGAATAGACCACCTCCCTGGGTTGTCTGGACATTGATTACAGATTAAATCACTTTCAAACTTGTCTTTCCCTGTTTCTAGCCGCAACGAGTAGAATGCGTTGACCAATCCACCGCTCTTATCTAATCTTCAACAAGTAATCAGCAGTTTGTTTCCCTCTATTCAGCTGTTATCACTGCCAGCTTCAGAGAAAAATGCATCGGCCTCAGTTTCTTTGTCCAGCTTTGGGCGTTCTGCCTCCATACACGCAAGCATGTGATAAAGAGCACTGGACATTCGCTAAAATGCCCCTTCAGCTCTTTGGCTTAAACACCTGCCCATGACACTTTAAGGCTTTACCACCCTGCCGCTATTGTGCTATAAACAATAGAGACGTTCTCTCCGAGTGAGTTTATGGTGCTCTATAAAGACGCCCCTTTTTTCTTTCTGATTTCTTTTAATTTAGTTACACACAGGCTCCTAGAGACACTAACGCCAAAACAAATCACAAAGGAATCAACTAAAGAAGGTAATCATAAGTAAGTTTTCATATTCTTTTAAGATCTTCAATTATGTTTGTATATGATATATGGTGTTTGTGTAAAACAGAGGAGGAAGAGGATTGTTTTTTAAGTCTATGGATCCAAACGGTTCGTGTGAATTGTAATAGAACATTTACTGTAAATAAATAGAAGGAAATGCGATACGTTTACAGTAACTAAGAAAATACCCTGCCAGCGTGTATAAATTAGTCTTAAAGGTATGATACCTCTTAAATGACTTGATCTTAATTCTCGTTTGCCACAAAAATAAACAACGGGTTCCTGAAATCAATTAATACATCAGTGCTTCGCGGTGTCTGCAGATCTTCCCTCTCTAGTCTTTTTGCAAAATATTACAAATAAATATGACATTGATGACAAACTGCAATTGCTTCAAAACCACAAACTAATTTGGACACGCTCATTTTGGTAACATATTAAATGTCAAATTAAAATGAAAAGGGCATTAAAAGAAAACGGAGGAGTTGTTTCGAGCTGTAAGGCAAACAACCCAAGCATGGTGCCGTAGCTGCGTTGGGTTTGTCAGGTTTGTTTCAGTGGTCCTTTGAAAGTTTGAGAGCAGCTCGGGCCCGAAGGGCGTAGCCTGCTGGCTCCTAGTGAAGAGAGGAACATCTTCAGACTAAAATACACTCCCAGGACTTAAACATTCGATATCTGCAAAATACTTCTTCTTTTTTTTAATCTGCTGAAAAGTTGGCAGGAGAAAACACACAAACACACTCTTATTCCCGTACATCCCCTTGGCTCCGAGACCGTGAAATTGACCAAAGCGAGCCGTAAAAAACGAGACTAGAAGTAATGATAACTAGAAGACGCAGAAATATCTCTCCACCTCATTGAAACATTTACCATCCTCATCTCTATCCAACTGAGTTCAAGCACCATCCAGAAAACGGCTGCGTATTAATGTTCCATCAAACGAGACAGTTTCTCTTTAGTTTTACTATCTTAAAAGTCAAATCAGTGCACGTACCTGCGCAGAAGAGAGCGAGCACACTCCCGATGAGAAACATGATTCTGGTGCTCGGGACACCGCCGACGGGCAAAACGGGAACGAGAGACTTGGTGCGTTTTGTTCCAGCAGCCCCGCCGTGCGCGCCGCAGACGGACAACCCAAACCCGCCGCTACATTCACCGCGCCGACGACACGCGTCCCTTCGCCCTTTGCTCTTTGCTCTTTGCACAAAGGTCGCTCAAGTTTCCAATCCTCCACCGAGGAGCGCGTCGGGGGAAAGGAGGCGCGCCGTGGAGGCAGCTATTGACTGTGAGTGCGTCTTTTGGTGCCAAAGGCTTCCAGCCTCACGCGGTGCTGTTTTGGAAAAAAAAAAAGAAAGAAAAGAAGATCACAACTACTGGATGGAGGACGTGTTAAGTGTCACCAGGAGATGCAGCTGTGGCCGCGGACAGTCATCGCCACGCAGCTCCGCTCGTCAGGGGGGTCCCGGAACATTCTGCGATTATGATGCTCTGGCAGGGACAGGCTGGGGTTATTAACCGGCGATATCCCCACTCCTCCTCCTCCTCCTCCTCCCCCTCCTTAGATCACCAGCATACTCACCTTCAGGGACAGTAAGGGATGGAATTAGACCTTTAGTTTACTATAACTGATTCATTTTGGATTCAAAAAAAGAAATATTAAACAGTCATGTAACCCTAAAATAATTGCCATCTGAGGGAATCCAATTAGCTTTTGAAATCAGCGCCCAAGAGCAAAACGTCTGTTTTGCGTTGCTAATTATTATATAGTTTGTGACTTATCTGGAGAGCTTTTGGCCATTTGGAACAGCATGCTAAACAATAGTTAGGACACAGACATTTTTTACAGAGAAGTCGAACTCTCTTGCAAAATAAGCAGTGAATTGTGGTCATTAGTTGTATAAACTGTTCCTTTGGCATCAACCTAAAACAGCAGTGTTGTTTCAACAGAGGAGTATTATCCTATGTTATATATAATAATATATTATTATATTATATTAGAATATAATATATTCTAATTAATTTAACTTTGCCAGTGTTTATCATTTCACTCCCATGTAATCTAATCTTATAATTCTAATTCTAAATCAAAAGATGTATGGCATACTCACAGTGAATAATCCTCTGGCGCCGTCTTCCCCTCAGCTCTGTTGAGCATTTTAATAATTTCTTTTAGCTTTTTTGAAATATTGGCTTCTACTTTTTCCCCCCGACGGTTTTGTTTCACTCCGTCATCAACCTCCTCTGCCCCCAGCGGGCAGCTGTGATAAACACATACCTGCACAGTTTGATTCTGGGTCAAGGGAGCATTTAGCAGTTAAAGGGTTTAGCATGTATTTCCTTCAGGAGCAGGTCGACCGAAAACAGAGCACAGGAGAGAGAATATTGGACTTACATTCATCCGTGTCTAGGGATCTGCAAGATATGTAAAGAAATGTTTGGTATTGTATAAGCAAAAAAAATACATATAGTGTAATAATGAGTCAATTAGGTCATTACAATTTGTGCAAAAGTAATAAAACACATTTGCAGGTGTAATGGAATTCATATGGCACTAACTTCAAACTGATGATGAAAAGAATAGTATTAATGTTAATTTGTAGAATACAGCTCTATACCACCATATTACCATTGTATAAAAAATGAAGCTGGAGTTTAACTGTTAACTTTCTAAGAATGGCACAATGGCAACAGATGAATCTTTTCTTTCTGCTGTGCATACTTTGATTAAAGCATAATTTGGTTGTAACACTTAATTCAGCATCCCAACTCAGTACATGAGGCGCTTTGTTATGACCCCTCAAAGTCACTAGGTCCAGGCCACTAAACTAATTGGTTAGGTTTACTAAAAGGTGATAATATGGGTTAAAAAGTGACCAGGTTTTCTACGCATCTTTTCATTACGTAGCCTCAGTAACTTACGTATGATCAAGTCCTGACTTGGTTTCACCAATGAACCTTGTTGTTTGTCTCTGGTCCCTTGTTGCATCATTGTAAGTCTACCAAGTACCTTGAATGTCATTCGTGTTTGTGAATGTTCTTCCAAAAGTGTGCGTTTTTCCCCTTTGGCATTTTTGAGTTTTGGGATTTGTCAAAAGTGCTTTTTTGTCAAAACTCTGGATTTGAGTTCTGCTTCTGACTTTCGCCACCCTGCCTTGTGACCCACGTGAGATGACGTTCCCCAAGGTAGGATACTGGGGCCTCTTCTGTCATCTATATCCCATTAGCTCAGATTATACAAAATAACAGCGTGTGCAAGTGTGTTACCATAGTTATGCAGATGACACACAAATATACATAACTATATCACCAGGGGACTATAATCCAATGCAAGGACTGGATAAAATCATTGAACAAATCACCAACTGGATGTGCCAAAACCTTCTTCAATTAAACAAAGATACAAAATAAGTAATTGGTTTTGTTAACAAGGATGCTCGATTGAAAGTTAGCGTTAAGCTCCAATTACTGATGTCAAAGGACAGCCCAGCACAGTGGATCACAGACAGCGCTTGCAACATTCTCAAATATATTTTTGTGTTTTTGGTTCATAGAAGAAATACAGCAAAAACACGTTAATTTTGAAGATTTTAGCCCGGGTTTGTGGCTCAGTACTGTCAGGGATATCAATTAAATGACTCGCAGTTTAATCCCTGGCTATGCCAGTCCATGTAAATGTGTCCTTGGGCAAGACACTTAAGCCCAAACAGCCCAATCATACTCATTGATACTGTATCAATGAGTATGAATGGTTAGTTTGAATCCCGATGGGCAGGTGGCCCCTTATATGTTAGCTCCTGTCATCAGTGTACGAATGGGTGAATGATGGCATAGCGTCATGTCTCCGTCTTTTATGAAGTCCCTTAAGCATCTGCTCCAGGATTCTAAAAAGCAAGATAAGTCATTTCAACTAAAGTAACACGTTCTGTTATCCGTGTTTTCACTGCATGGCTCCAAATTGACTGATGCAAATACAATGTCATTCATCATAAGAGACTATCCTTATTTGAAAATTTTGAAATGGCTCAGGTATTTTTGTCATTTATTCTCAAGATTGAGGAAATATACAGGTATAAGAGATGCTTTTTTTGTGTCTATAGCTCTTCAGTTGTCTTCAGTGCTGGGAGTGTAAATGGTGGCGTGTTCCTCGTGCACACTGCTGTGGTGTAAGTTGTCGGGTGCACTGCCGGACTAGATGATTGTAACAATTAGGGAGGGAAGGGGCAAAGGAGACATTTTAAGGCTTGCCGACCATAAATAGCAGTCACAAAAACACATACATACTGTATATATAACAATTACACATGGTTACACACAGTGTACCATCATGTTTTTAAATTTCCTTGCATGCCAGCGTCTATAACTAGCGGGGGAAGCAGTGGAGATAGCGCACAGTTTTATGGGCAAGCATCTTCAAAGAGTGTCTCAGATTAGTCTCACTTACAAAAGGGAAAACCCCATAATAGAACATTTTTTTCAACCAGATTGTTTTGGTTTTCTTTTACACAGAATCATGAGCACGAGATCCGCACACTGTATTGACAACATTCCAACACAGAGGGAACAGCGACGAGGACAGACCCTCCTGCATTGACATCTTTTTCAGTGCCACTTACAAATCCCACACTGCAATCAGCAAGTCCTTTTTAATGGCATCATGCACGAACATATGTACTCGCACGCACGCACGCACACACACACACACACACACACACACACACACACACACACACACACACACACACACACAGAGGTGTTTCAACCTTGTCCCATCAAGGAAATTACATGGCTCTCTGATCAACCCCCAAAGGTCATTCAACCTCATGGCCTGTTGGGCAACAAGCTGCTCTGTTAATCAGAGGAGAGCTTCATCTCTCCAGGGAGAGACATATGGCGAGCAGCGTTGTGACATCACAGCGAATAACAAATACTGTGACATCACAATAAAGGCATTGCAGAGGCGCCAGATTTCTTTGTCACCACATCTGGCTCCACTATGGAGATCTTCTGCTGTTTGGTCTATACGACCATAAGGTTAGAGGAGAGTACACATGTATGTTCCGCACTGCTGTGGCATCGTCACTGTCAGGCATCCAGGGCTTAAGTTAGAAACAATGTTTTTAATATGCCAGCGACTTTTTTTGAAAAAAAAAACAAGAATCCCCATGAAACGAAGTTCCTGACTAAACCAACCGTTGCTGCAGCATCAATTCAATCTGTTGTGTGTTATAGATGGATATATGGATTTTTGTTTTTTGCAAGGAATAGAGGGACAGCAGGCTGGCAAGGAGAAGAGATAACATGTTGGGTTCAGTTGTATGAAGTATGAAGGGTACAATATGTTGAACAAAAATCAAGCGAGCTCAGCAACAAGAGAAATACACCTAAACACTGCATAAAAGATAGATGATGAAATATGATTGTGGTGGCGGGGTGTGGTTAGCTCAGCTGCAGGGGGGAGAGCGGGGGAGTGGTTCAGGGGAGGGTGCCGGCAGGAGAGTAAGGAGCACAGGTGGAAATGATCAGAACTGATTGTGTGTCTCTTGAAAAGCAGTGAGCAGGACCTGGAGAGTAAAAGACTCTGCAGCAGGCGCTCAGGGGCAAGGCCGAGGAGCGGAGCAGAGCCGACGAGGACAACCACGCAAAACCTGCTCGATGCAAGGAAATAAAATAAAACATATTGCTCCGAAGAATCGTGTCTCCGTGCAACCTTACGCGAACCCCAAAGGTGGTAGCTCGAACCTGCTACAATGAAGTAGTATTGAGGATACTTGGAGAAGTTATCTCATAAGACATTTGAAATATATATGTAACATTTCGCAAACTGAATGATACTGTAAGTTCTCATGAGGACCAAGCCTCGGCTGGGTCCTCCCAACAGGTTCTCCACCCCTGAAATGGAATGGTCCGTTCTACGGGGGGGGTTAGAGGGGGATTCCTGCTTGCATCATTGGCGTTTCCTTTGCTGCTCTGTTGCCTAGCAACCTGCTGAGCTAGATAGTAAAAGCCTTAAAAGCCGAAAAAACGTAGCTTTAAGTTTTACAGTATATGAAGCTTAATAACTCAAACCACTTAAGCCCTGAACTTTTAGCTAAATAATAAAAATATTGCAATCTTAAGGCAGAGGAAATCCGTCAATACAGTCAATAAAAACAACAGCATTCCAGATGAGTTTATTCTGTGGATATCAGATGGCAGTCAAATTAATCTCCACTTCCATCTCTCGACTGTCTGGCTGTCTGGTAAAAAATACCTCCTAACGCCAATTCATAAACACTAATCCTTGACCTCTGTGGAAAGTGTCACGGGTCAAGGATAGATGGTTAGTAGAATTCATGGGGAGATAGGGAAAGACATCCGCGTACTCCGCTGTAGTTATGATGCGATGGGAGACGCATGTCAGTGATGTTAGTCTGCTGGTGATGATGTGACTTCCATGATCTGAGTTTCTCGTTCATGATCGGTATTTTTCGTGAAAGTCAATATTTGTGTATATGTGTTTGTGA